TCCTGTAGTGTTTTATTTAGCATTTTGTAAATCCCATTGAGTTCTGTTGGAATAGTCAATATTCCCCTGCCACCGGAAACGGAAATGGGGCCTGTTTACACAGTTGTAGTCTTTTCGCTTCACTCTGTGTACTCCGACGTAGAGGTGCTAACGTCTCTGTTAAACACTTTAAAAAACTCTGAAAATGGAATACGAAAGGTGGATTCTTGATTCTCGACGTCAGATTTACAAAATGCTAAATGTGGCATTGGTGTCGATCATTCGATTTCATCCTGGACACTACAGAAAATGGGCTAAAAGTGTTAAAAACCGGAATTCTCCTTTAAGGTGATAGTAGGGAACTAATTAACCTTACATTGGGTTATGGCCCCAGGTATGAAAAAAACACTTTAATTAGCCCCACAAGTCTTTACTGCGGCTGCACTGAGGGTTTGAATGTCTGCACTTACTAATTTTCTCAGTGACAGCAATTTTGCAGGTAATTCAGAGAAGAAAGACTGTGTTTTGTTTTCTCATTTTAAGTACAGGATGCAATGGACATGATAAAAACAGAAGTGCTGATGTGTCACAGTTAGCACAACCTGAAGTAAAAAATGAATTTCAATTTCAGGTTCTTTGATTTAGCTAAATGGTGATATGTCCAAATATCTCTTAGTTATGTGAAATTGTTGCAACAAACTTTGTTCAAATTTTCAGCTGCTAAAAATGGCTGTACAACATTACACAAATTAGTCTGAATCTGCAATCATCTCTTTTAAATCTCTATTCCCTATTGTTCAGTCCAAAATTGGTCAGTCCAGTAAGTGCTGTGGAATAAACCTTTTTTTATTGCTTTAGTAAATGCTGATCATAAAGATAGCCTAAAAGGTATAGAGGACGATCATTTATTTCTGGGTGGATCATCTAAGTAAGTGGTGCTCCTAATTGTCAATCATTCTGGTGATATGTTTACGTAAGGCCGTCCTGTGAACTCGTCCCCAGTTAGCTATCGTTTTCTGCCCATGCGCACCTTGCAGGCATATATCTGTAGTGAGCTTACATATATCTGTAGTTTCAGACAGTCATTAAAGATCACCTTTCTCACCACTGTTCTTTAAAAATTACTGAGGCTTGTGAGAGAAAACGTGTCTACACGTGTATGAGAAGAAGAGAAAGGCCTCCAAAAAGCCAGATATGCTTTGCACAGAGAGCTCTCCTTGCAAAACATTATAGGGGTCGCTGTTACAGCGGCCTGCTGTCGCCAAAGGCTTTCACTACCCGACAGTGGCGACTAATAATAATGATGGTGCAGGCACTGCACGGTGGAGGAGGAGTTACGTGACCAACAGGGAGCATAAAGCAGAGAGCATCTGTCCAAACGGTAAGTTAACTGAGTTTACTTTAAAGTTCACTAATGTATTCCCCGCTCTATATAGTGATTGAGAGCTTTAAGGGTTAAGGATGATGTTAGGACACAGTAAGCTTGTATGACCTACGAGAACAGAAACTTTCAAAAAGAGTGTGCACGCATAGAAATGCACTCGTGCATGCTATCACACACGTTTAATAGGCATTCCCTATATTTAATAGATGTCTTTTAAAAAAATTCACAAATATTCTCCACAGTACTATGATGTATAGATTCTAGCTTACAAAAAACAACAACAAAAAACAACCCTAACCCTATATCTTAAGTAAATTCAAACTTCTTTTCAAACTATAGTTGTTTTACCTCTATAAAGCTTTGTTCCAGTGGATTAAATGATAGCACACATTATCAAAAGAAGAATGAACTTCCTGCGCTGTCTAACGCAATAAACTAATTTCATGATGCCGGATGAAAATAAAATGCTAAAACTGACAGCCAGGTTCAACACCTGAAGGGCAACAGATGCATCACTGTGATTTTCACAACCATATATTACATCCCAGCACAGAGATGTGTAGAGTAACAGCCACGGATGGCTGATCCTCTGCATAATATGTTCCCGGTATGTTTTTCCACCAAAACACATTACAGGGCTATGTCACTCAGTGCAGAGATCCATCATGTTCATCAGTCACAGTAATCACTCTTGGAAATTACGTCCTTTAGAGAGCCTGCATCTCACGCCGGCTGTTTCGGACATATAGGCAATAAAAGGCGACTGCGTCAAGTGCGGTTGCTGGTAATTGATACAAGCTGTGAGATGAAGAACTTTCTATATGAAAAAGAGTGAAACAGGAACAGATGATCCCTCACAGGCCTGACATTCCAGCCATGCTGCGGAGGCCATAAAACACAAATTGGTACCTGAATATTTCCTTGAGAATGTCATGGGTTTAAATAAAAATGTCCTTGGCCCACTAAGGCTGGGTGATGAAGGATGATGATGACCCCCCTTCTCTGTTAGTTGGTCACGTCACCTTCAGCTGATTAACCATGTTGACATTATGCCTCCACTAATTAATCACAAACTTTATCTGTAAGCTGATGTTAGATATGAAAACTGGTATCTAGATAAGTGCCAAACACCAAACTGTTTTTGGCACAACAAGGCTCAACATCCAGATAAGATCAGCGTAATAATTAACCTACAAGCATCAGATGATGTATGGGTATGAGCCTGCCATGTCCCTGCCCTTCAGAGAATAATACTTCACCACTGTTCCATCTGAGCACAGCTCTGTCTGTTAGAGTTATATTCGGCGCCGGAGATGTTTGAGTCATTACTATTCCCATCACAGTTCAAACAGGTTCCTTCAGATAGGCAGAGATGAGGGGAAGCTCTGAACTCCTAACCTTTCATTCCCATTCTTACAGGGCTGTCATCGCTCTCATGTTTTCATACCAATAAACCGCCTCGGTTATAACACAAAAATATCTGGAGAGGTGACTCGAGGCTTGACCTTTCTAAGCTAGCAGTAAAACAGTAGAACATAAACCCTCATCAATCAGCCAGAAACAGCTCTGACATTTTAAAACCACGTCAGATGTTCTTAGAGAAAGCGCTTTTAAAGGAATATTTTCGTGTCTTGTTTCTATAAAGATTTGCCAATCTGTGTAAAGCCAAGTTTGCAAAAGGCTTTGGCAGAGAAATGCTTTAGAAATACTGTCAGCTTTAGTAAAACAGACTGTGAATGGCCTTGGCTCACGGTGGATAGTCACAGGCACTAAAACTGAAGAATATGAGCTAAAAAAGGTGATCTAGATATATTCATTTTTAATAATGTTTTACATTGCTTTAATATATGATCAAAATGCTGAAGCAATGAGTTACAAACTCTTCAAAACCAACGGTTATACAGTGTAAGAAGTAGTCATTTGTAAACACACCTCGCATTGCCTTAAAAATGTCAGACATTGTTGTAGGGAAATTGTAGGTGACTTTTTATTTACATTATCTTAGTGTTTGAGGGTTACAGATGGTTCTTGTAGTTTGGGCTTTGACTCAGTCATCAGTGACTAATTCCTCCTATTTTTAACCATTCTGTTAAGGATTTGTTTGATATTTCATCACCAAGTTTATTCAGCTATTAGAAAAAGGGCAATTTTTTTTTTTTTTTTTACCCTAGTCCATGTTTGCTCAAAGACTACACGGTATCAAAATCCAGTGGATGCAAATCTTCACTCCACCACCACCGTGCTTTACAGTTGGTATGAGCTGTTTTATTGTTGATGTGCTCTATTTGGTTTTGACCAACCATATTCCAAGCTTTACAAGCAATCATCTCTTCTTTATAGTCTAATCTCTAATCTTTGTTTAAAGGAAGATACCAGAAGTCTTTTTTTGCATTCAGAAGTAACCTCGTAAAGCAAACATGTTCTTTTATTAAGATTTGAGATAATATATTTTTACAGTGCCGACTTGGTCAAATAGGTCAAACTCTGTTTCCATGTTTTCTTAAGTTCTGGGCCATTGCAACATCGTCACCCATCAAGCTTCACCTTTTTCGTAAAATCTCTCCAAAAGAAACATTTTACAGCAGTCATTTGGTCCATTTAGATAAAAGGGTGCAAAGCTAAGAGAAGAAAAAACTTCTAGCTACTGTTCAAACCATCATATTCTGGTTCATTTTCTTGATATTTCTGTTATTTAAATAAAAAATAATTTTCTCTGCAAATTATTATTTTTTTTTTTAACCATTCCAACAGTATTGCTTTTCCTAAAGTAAATTTACAGGGAGCATTGGAATCTATTGTGATTTATTTCTAAAAGGGTCACTCCAGTAAGATGCCTGTGCAAATTCTCAGTCATATGGGAGATGGCGACCACATAGTACATGCATAAGTCAGAGATGTTTACTAGGTTTTTCCAAAGATGTTTAGACCCTTATCCATCCGTCTTTGTCAGCTCTGGCGGCTCCCACTTCAGTAACCCTTAGTTGGAGCGCTGCTGTCTTTAAGCACATAGAGGACCATCCTCCAAGGTACATAACACGTTAGAGTTAACCTGATTGAACAAAAGTCTTGTTGCCTTCAAATTAAGCCTGTTTGTGACTCCGTGAGGATGGACTGTCTTCACCTGACAATCCTTCCCAGACTGATGTGTAACAAATGTTGTGCTGAGTTCATTGCTGATGTCTTTAAGCCTTGCACATAAACCTCCAACACCAGACAAGCAGATGTACAGCTCTTATAGAGGCTACTTCCTAGTGCTTTTTAAAAAATTTTTTTTTTTTTTATCGTAAACCTGCTTATGCATCTCCACTTATTTCTAAGGGGAGAAATATTTGAGGTTATATTTAAATTGAGTTCTCCTGTTGTTTTGATTAGCATTTTGTCGAGGAAATGATAAAACAAGAGCGTGTGTTGCTATAATGCTGGGGTTCGTTTGCCATACCCTGAACAAAATGGTGTCCTTTATATTATTCCTGATAAAACTTTTAAATTAAAAGCTTAAATCAAACGTTAATAAGATTATTATCTACCAGTCATTTCTGACTTAGAAAGCCAACAAATCAAGAACTGTCAAAGCATTTCTTCAAGAGCCAGGCAATGAAAACTAGACTGGAAAAAAGAAGATTCTTCTAATACTCACATGCCAGGAAACAGTCCATGCTGAAAGAGATGTTGTCGATGGAGCTGGCTGAACCGGGTCCAGCTCCATCTTCTGCACTGAACTGGAGCCAAAACCTGAGAAGAGAGAAAAGAAAAATATTATCTAACAACCAAAACAACTATCAAAAGGTTGGAAAGCCCCTAGATGGACAACGTGTCTTAGGTGATACCTGGATGTAGACAGAATGCTATCTGTCTTCTCATTTTTTATTTACAACTTAATCATTTATTTTTTAAATTCACATATAAACTCTGATGAATTTCAAAGTGACCCTATTATTGGCATTACAATACAGATAGATGCACTTCTTTAGACTTCAGTTTAAAGTTATAAAGTATTTAACATTTTCAATCCTGAAGAGTTTATATTACCAAATTAGGTTTTTTAATCTTTTTTATTAGTCATAACCTGGTATTTTAGAAATACAATATTCTATTATTTTCTTTAAATTCATGTTTATTCCTTTTTTAGGGGACAAACTATATAAATAGAGCTCATCCTGACCCCTTTTTAAACCTATTTTTTCTCATGTGGGTACCCACGAAAATTTGAATTACTGTACTGTATGTGTATTCATATTTACGTGCTCTGTCTTCATTACATGATAGTATTTATTACATCATAGTGGATGTTTGTGTCACAGGTTATTAAACTCTTGAGTGATGGGAGCCGACAGCACCATGATGCCATCATCAACAAAACGTGAAGGTAGAAAAAACTGCACAGCTATTAACAGCAGCTGTTTGCAAAGCAATGCTGCTGCTGTCTAGTGGGAACCCTGGTGATGACGTAAAAGTCAGATAAAACAAGACATGACATCAGATGCTACTGGATACATATCAGATTTAGAACCAACTATGAAAGTGGCTCAAATCACATATATTGGAGGGTGAAAAGAACAAAATAGGGATGCTCATTTTGCTGTGAAAAATTCAGATATGATTCACATTAGTATTGCACAGATATCGATACCAGTATCGGGCGGGGCCCCGATCCAGCACTAAAATGGTGGTGTCGGTATCGGCGAGTACCAACAAATAGGGCACCAATACCCTTTTGAGAGCCAAAGGTTTATTCAACTATTGTCAACCATTTCAGGTAGGCAATAAAAAGGTCTACTGGATTCACTTTGTATTAGTCTTTTTCCTGCTTCACAATGGTAGGCAGCAGCTTGCCATGATGGCAATTATTTTACATCTAAGTAGTATGCAGTTCTTCATACATATACACACACATCAATTTCAAACAGATGGTATCGGTATGGTATCAGTATCGACCAAAGCTGCACAGCCAGAGATCGGTTATCGGTATCGGGGCCAAAAAATGGCATTGGCACAACACTAATTCACATATAGGCAAAAGACGTGATGGGTGGCATTTCTTGCAGTTGACTGTAGCCTAAGAATCAGACATGTGTTTAGCTGCCAGAATGAACGCCACTGGGTTAGGAGACCTTCTGTCCTTATAATAATAATAAAAAAATCTGGTTTAAATAGGGTTATGTTTAGGGTTAGATTAGCTAAAGCATTTCTAATTATGGCACATAACAAATTTCAAAAGGAAGTTGTGGACATTTAGTCATTTGGTTCTGTAAAACCCCTCTGGATCATTCTGGTTGCCTGTTTTAGGGAAGGAGCAGCTGTTAATGGATTTGGTCTATGGGTTCTAGCCAGCTACAAAGGCTACTCAGCTGACTGATTCACGGAGTGAAGTGGGAGAAGACATCCTAACGGAAGCTGTAGCTGCTAGAATAACCTCAACATAAGCTTTAAACGATTTTCTAAAACACTATTCTGAATAATATAAATTAGGTTTAAACATTTATGGATAAGATAGATGAAGTGTTCCTGCACTAGTTAAGAATCCAAACAGAACATCAGAAAAAAGCACAGTGAAATTAATGAAAATGAAGACTAGTCAATATTTCAATATTTTATTTCATTAAATGCTTTTGTGTATCAGAGGCTCTAGTTTGTCAGACAGAGAAGCATTACTGCAGCACTGTCTGTAATCCCCCGTGGAATATGTGGAAACCAAAACTAACAACTTGTTACCAAAGCTTTTTTTTATTGTAAGGTTCATGCTAACCTCTGCACACCTCTGAAAGGCTGTACATAATTCACTGACTGTCTTAAAGAGACATTTTGAGTTGCATCCAATTCAGTTCTGGAGAGATCCAATGCAAGAAACCACTAAAACCCCTGTGCCAGATAAGCCACATAGCAGCGCTGCTATGACGCTGAGAAGTGAAGCTTCAGGACCAAGGCCTGTCAACTTAGAGGTGACAAAACAAGATCAGGACCTCAAACTGTGCTTACTGTATTCTTCCGAGTCTGTTCCAACCGAGATACTAATGAACCTACATTTCTAGCATTCTTTCTCTCAGACATTTTCCCTTAAAGGTCTGATTTATTTCTTTCACAACTGAAGACCAAAGACCTTTCTTCAATCTCTTGAAAGAGAAAAAGAACATCAAGAATAAAAAAAAAATCTTTTTAGCTTGATTATTAAAATATTGAATTATATTTAATAATAAAATAAAATGTTGTTCTTAGAGTTTCCCCTTAATCTAAGCATTAGAGATGTAGGATTACTGTTAGAGTCCAAATACTTTTTTGTTTGTGTTTTACTCAATAAAATCAAGAATTAGAATGATTAGTGAGAAATATAACGTTTGATCAACTTGCCAATATTTTGACTGCTAATATTAATAATTGTTTGGATAGATGTCCAGATTCTATAAAGAGTGCTCAGTGAAGAGGAAAAAAGATGGATTATTTTTTAATGCTGTTAACATCTTAGTTGATAGCAGTTTAATACCAAAATTGTTAGATTCAGCAGACCAGCTGCTGATTCTTGACTTTTATCTACACTTTAGGCAGCATTTCTGTTTCTATTTAAGCTTCTACAAAGGTCACTGAGCAAAGTCTTGGAGGCTCACCCACTGCTTATGGACATGACATTCAAATCAAAAGCACAAGCACAGCTGACTACATAACCCAGGAATCAAAAATTAATCACTCTCCGAGGAGCAGGATTATTCAAGCTTGAAAGAAAGCCTCAGTTAAGAAAACAAAGATGAAATGCCCTTTTCAGTGGGGCCTCTATGTTTTATCTTTCTCTTATTTTGGAAGGAATCAAGGCCATAGTTAATTGTAAGGCAAACAGAGTTAGATTCTATTCACTTTGTCACAGACAAGTTTAAATAATAGAGGGGATAGGATATTTTTTACATTTGTAGTCACTGGAAAGTTCATTATGGAGGCCCCAATGGGATTTATTAGTTTTTCTGGAGTTGACGGGAAGCGATTCCAGAAAAAAAAGAAAGGACATTTCACCAGCAGGTGTATAAGGAAGTGGTAAATATTTTTGTCACTGTGTCAGACGCTTGTTTGAATGAGATTTAGATGACTTATCTGCTCCTAAGCATTTAAAGTGAAGCTGACAGTTTGACGCCTGCAGACAATCTAAACACACTGCTTTGTTGCAATCACAACTGTCTGTCATGAGGTGAAACAGGTGAGCGTACCAGTCTGCCAGCCCGTAAAGAGGAAGTGTGATGAGCCTCCAGCCTCTTTCGGATCGGGGCTCGCTGGCTGAGTGCCACAGCCTGCGCTGCTCGTCTGGGCCTGTGGTGTTCTCCACTATCCACAGGGATAATGAATCCCTCTGTGAGCCTCCAGAGCAGAACCAGAACCTCACCTGTAGAAGAGAAGGAACAGTTTGCAGCTCAGTTTGGGTTTTTCAGAAATTTCCCCAAACACTGGATGTCTCATAGATTACAGTCAATTACAATGTTTTCATTGCACAAAAACACTCCTTCATCTCAGGTTTTATTTTTTCTCTAAATTTATTTTAAAAAAATACACAAAAAACATATTACACACAATTATTTAATAACCAAAGGGAGGGACAAAATGTATGATTAAACCAATTACCTCCCCTAAATTACCGGTATTAAGACCAAACATGAGCACCAAGACATTTTTTACTCTTCTTTCTAATGTTACTTTAGTTTGTTTATAACTGAAAAAAATAATTTTTTTGCACAGATGAAAGAGGCACTGTATTTTTCTAATCTTGAGGCTAGTAAAACCCCTGTGCTTATAGTTAATATAAAACCTTTCAAATAGTTTGTTATACAAGAGGAGGCTTTCTTCTTGCAACCTAAAAGCCATGCTTATTTAGTCTTTTTATTTGAAAAATCAATACTGAAACTTAGGTGAGCAGAGGCAGAGAAGTTGGGAAACTGAAATTTCCCTCTCCTCAGATACACTCTATTAGGGGGCACATTATTCCTAGCTTGAAGGGACATATAGTCCCTCTAACAAGTTCTGGTTTCGCCTTTATGTCTTCTCCTCATCATATGCCCGAACTCCCTCGGCTGACTCCATGCAGTGGTGCAGCGAACCTCAAACTTTGTGAGGAAGAATGAGCTCATCCTTGTTGTTAATGATGAGTCCAGTCTACAGCCTTATCTGCTATCTTTTTCTTGCAGTCATGACTCATACATCCCAGGACAATATGGGAACCTCATGTTTGCACTTTATATGTGTTCAGATCATGACCTTAGGCCTGCACTGCAGCGGTCTGAGGCAGAGTGTAGTGGGACTGGGATGGGAATGAGTTATTTGGAAGAGTTTAGGTCTCTTATGTTTTGTTTTTTTTATGTATTGCATGGATTGATTTGGACACTGCTGTACTAAAATAGAAACTTCCCTGATATGTCATGGCAACAAATAATTAACGAATAAACGTCTCAGTTTACAAGTTATATCTATGCTCTAACCGTCACTTTGAATTCTGTTGTAAATATCTATGTCTGTCATTCTTTATGTGGGATAATAGCTTCAGATAGTTTAAGAATTCCCTTTGAAAATAGGTTAGTATGTAAAAAAAAATGCACATGAAAATACATCTGGCTTTAACTTTGTTTAAGTAATGTTTGGAATTTGCTGTATATTTTTTATTTACTTGGGGTTCAATGTAAGTAATGTTATGACCCTATAAAGATAATATAAAACTTTATACAAAGAATCAAAGTAAAAGTAGCTATAAGTTATGTAATTTTATAAAGAGCCTTATCATTTTAGTGAAATCTAAGTTGTTTTTCTTATTTTATGAGCACCTTAGGATGTAAGAGAGCTCCTAAAATGGAAAAATGCAGAGTTTTGTGAAGAACTTAGAGTGTCTGACGCAGAGAGGATACCAGCAACGGAGAGAGCTGATTGGCTGAGCCACAACTTGAATAGGTCATAAATAAGGTCAAACTTCCTTAAAAATACTACAATTATGAATATTTAGATAAAGGGGAGATACATTTAATCATCTGGACAGGTTAAATATGCACCTCTGGTAAAATAATATTAGGATAATAATAAAAAAATATATAATATTGAATAATCATAACGTCAAACAAAAGAAAAAAAACTATGTCATACAGAAGAAGGCCCTGTATTAGTCTAACAGGATTAAATGTGCTCAATGAGAAACATTTAAATAAAATGGGAAAGAAGAGCTGAGATTTGCTGCTTTAAATCATCTTAATCATTTTAATATAAACAGTCATTAAGAGATTCTCTTGTGATGGCAACTCCTCTCCAGCCTTTGGATGCTGCAGGTAGCGTTTCTCACTTTCCAGGCTGGTGCACAAAAGCAGAGAAACCGATGCATCGGAAATTTACCTTAAAGTCCATGTCTTCACACCTTTATTCCATTTACCTGCCAACATTCCTCTATTCTCTAAGAGCTGTGTGTGCAGAAGTGTTGCTCCTCTTTCCAGAATTGCCAAACAGAAGTGTCTTAAATAAGCAGGCAATAACAGCACAATGCTGACTGATGAGTCTAAATCACTAACAAATAGATGAGATAGTAAAATGACTAACAATGCGGGTAACCAAACAATTCAAAATAATCATAAGGATGTGAATAAAGGACAACCTCATTTTGGTACGCATCATCATTAAGTGACTAATTTCTTAATCCATTACTAAAATCTATATCGGTTAATATCTCTTCATTGGTTATTAGCAACACCTTGGTGGGTTTTTTGTACCAACCAATCACAGCTCCTAGAAGATAGCATTACTCTTAGGAATGGGGTCAAGCACACATCCTAAGTGAGGAATTTCTGTGAGGGCTTTAAGTCTATTTAAAGCTAGAATTCATTAGCAGGAATGTTTAGGCTTTGATAGGAGCTCTGTGAGAAGAATTCAAATATTTTTCCAAATTTGGGACCAGCTCATTTTTCCTTGCGTATTAAAGTTTAGTAGTAAAAGAAGGTTTAGTTTCTTTTTCACATTTATCTAAGTAAATGGGATGAATCTAAAGCTACAATAAGATTACAGGATTCCCTTCCACACATGGAGGGCCTTTTACTGGTTAAATAAAGGTGAAATGAAACGTATTAATCAAAGCTCACTGTACAGTACAAATATTTCTAACATCAACACATTCAACCTGGATTTTTAAGTGGATTTTCTTATCACTGGGAAAATGCACCACTTAGCATTATCAAAAAAAAATAGCTTTGGCCAAATTGAGTCTAAACTAATTTAGGAATAAATTAACAAATTTTTTCACAGGACTTAAACTCTGAAAGTTACATTTCAAGCCTGTTCCTATTTTTCTCTCAGATCCAGGAAAATATTTTTATTTCACTTTTTAATTAGAACAGACTGCCTTAAGCCTGCTTAGTAAAATCACTTCTTTCAGGCTAAGTTTTTGCATTTCACTTGTCGATAGTGATGCATTGTGATGACATGAAGGTAAGAGCTCTGCCATAGCATGGCAATTTAGACAGCGTATGCCCGACCTACCAGAGTCTTCTGAAAAGCGACAGTGGCGTTGGATGTAGGAGTTTGCCCTGAAATCAAAGGATTGATGGTTCAAGCCCCGGCTCCGACTTTCAGTGTTGTTGTGTCCTTGGGCAAGACACTTCACCTGCATTGTCTACTGATGGTGGTCAGAGGGCCCGGTGGCACCAGTGTACGGCAGCCCCACTTCTGCCAGTGAGCCCCAGGGCAGCTGTGGCTACAATGTAGCTTGCCACCATCAGTGTGTGAGTGTGTGTGTGAATGTGTGAATGAATGTAGTGTAAAGCTCTTTGGTCAAGTCTCCTGACTTGAATAAAGGCGCTATATAAGTACATGCCATTTACCATTTACCAAAGCTGGCATATGCTGAACTTTATATGCATTTTTTCAATTTTGGGTGTATACATAGCATACTCATAACAAGTCCAGAACTTATGTCCAACGACAGCCTAACTTATGCATAACGCATGGCACCGTAATGCCCATAAATGATGGACAAGCATCATTTCATGGGCATTATGGAGCATCAGTTAAAGCTGCTCATTAGGGGAACAGCAATGCGCCTGGAGGCACCCGGTCTACATAAAGATATGTCTAATTGCGCTGTTAACCTGCCTGCTGTTAAGAAAAAATAGAAAAAGAAAGAAAAAAGGTTTGGTGACGCAGAAGATCCAACGTCATGTCTGCTAGGAAGTTTGTTGGTGGCTGTGGGTGTGAACGCAGGGAGGATCAATCACACTCACCTTCTTGCTCACCCTATACCTATAATGAGCATGAAGTCTGAAGGAGTACTGAGGGTTTTCTCCTGTGAACCCCCTATTATACCATAACGCTGCCAATACCCCATTATTCAGTACCCGGAAGTTAGAAACATGTTCAGTGATCGTCTGGAACACGTCAAATACGCTGATATATGTTGGAGATAAATTCTTGATAAGTTACGAATAAGTTATGCACACGTTACTCATGGGTTTTGGATAAGCTGGACACCACAACTTATGAGTTGTCCTCTTTCTTTGCTGTTTAATACTCAGATTTAGTCATTCAGATTAAATAATTCTAGCTGGATATGCAATTATTTCTAGAAAAAACAAACAAACAATAAAGGCATTATTTGGATAATATCTGAAGCTTAAATCAGCAAACAGCTGACCTGTTAGCAGTAAAGGGTAATTTATGGCATTGTTCATAAAAGATTTGTTTAAAGCATAATATGTTCAGTGACAGACTGCTGCACCCTAAATGCACCAGGGAGCGTTATCACAGATCCTTCCTATCAGCAGCTGTAAGACTTTATAACCATCACTGTTCCCAACAACCTCAATAAGTTGTTACATTCATGCTGATTTTGTACAGTTTCTACCTTAGTCAGTTATATAACATGATGCTATTATTTTGCACATCTCTGATGTTGCTGCTATTTTCAAATACCCATTACTGTAAAAATGTCCATAGCTGTATATTGGTTATATTCTGCAGGTGCACAATATTTATATTGTTAAAACACTTTTCAGTACAGTATTTTATTTGTTTATTATTTATCTCTTCATTATTATGTATTCTTATACACTTTTCTAAGGTACAAATTTGTGTGACCATTTTTTCTATAATCTTTTTGCTGCTGTAAACACCAGAATTCCCCTATTGTGGGAGAATAAAATGGCTTTCTATTGTATGCTAAATTCTGACTTTAACAGCAACTATTCAAGTTGATCATGTTTTCTCCTCTGTTTCTGTACTCGGGAGTGAGGATCAATACAATGACATTCAACTATTTTTGAGAAATGATTTGGGAGTTTGGAAGAAACAGATTCTTTTTTGACCACCTTTGTATTTTCTCTGAATCAAGTATTGTACAGAATTTAAGGACTAGAGAACTGCATCACTCCTTGGCCTTGTATTTGGCTTTACTGTCCCTCAGATACTTTTCCATGTCTGAGAAGTTGACTTATTTAATCTTCAATCACATTGTGAGTCACATTGGAGTCAGATGGGATGGCCTTTTTTGCTCAAGAAAGGAAGAAAAAGTGATGAAAGTTTCACGGAATGGTAAAATAGTCTCTGAATCCCCCAATGGCTTGATGCAGGCCCTCTGGCTCATTTCGCCTCCCCATTTTGAGTGGCTCTGTGCAATCATTAACATGACCCTGCTGCGATTCTGTCCAATCAGAGGTCACTAAGTTCACCAACATCCTTCCCTTTTTACCATACTTTCTCTCTCACACATACATTCTGATACAGCAAAGAAAAAATAGAAGTTTTTCCAGTTGGAGTGAGAGAATGGTAAATGCCTGCATAGACCCTCCTTGTTAGCACAAACACAAGTTTTAACTATTAAAGAATTGAATAGACATGTTTTTTTTCCACAGAAACTAGAAAAAGTAATGGATAAAGTTTTGGGTTTTAATATAAACCACTAATGTAAAGTAGATACAACATGGACTCACCGTGCAGGGAGAGTTTCTCAGAGGAGGAGGGAAGAGTGGACTCTTCAGCAGCGCTGAGCTACGCTGACCTTTGGACTGGCTTCTCTCAGTTGTGAATGTTGCCCCTTTGCAAAAAAAATAAAAAATTAAGACATGGATAGAGAAATAGCATATAGACAGTCAAGATAGATATTTTTATATGTGCCCCTAACAAGGGACACTTTTTGTCACTGTCTAAAATGAAATCCTACCTATCCGTGCTTGTTTTAGATCTTTTAAGATAAACAACATGACTATTTCTTACGTGAAAGAAATGAGCAGGGAACAACTTATTAAATTCAGGTTTGCAGACATTTTTCCTGTGTTTGGTAGAATTGCCTTAACACTGCTTGACTTGAGTTTAATATTTTAGGTATAATTCCACAAACACCTTGTTACATGTGCTCTGTATTATATCTTAATAATCTTCGAACCTCAAGCTGATTTCACTCTGTGAAGTCCATCACTACGATCTGCTGTAAAAGATGAAAACAACATGATGCTGCCAACCCTGTACTTCACTAACTGGATGAAGAATTGACACTTGAAAACATTTTACTCTCTTTTCCCTTCAAATGTAACAATGCATATTATAGCCAAAGAATTTTAAATTTATCAGATCACCATAAATGTCTGCTAAATGAGCTTCTAGTCTATACTTTGATTTTTAAGTTGCATTTGTATTGCTTTCTTCTTCTTTATTGCATATGATGGAACTCTCTTAGCAGTTTCAGCGTCTTTACAAGCTATTCTGATTTTCAATAAGCAGCGAACATGTTCATCTCTATGACACAGAACCTGTCTTCTTGTTGACAGATAATGTATGATGAGTGGATAATTCATACTGATGTATAATTGAACTCATCACCTTTGGGCCTCCAGGTAATCTATTCAAGGTTCAAATTAGACTTTACGTTGTCTTTCTTGATAAATTTGTTAATTCAGTTAAATCTTTTAACAATTTTACTCGAGAAAGCAACATGCTTGAGGTGTAGCCTTATAATGCATCTACAGTTATGCCTTAATTTTAATAAACCTTTTCCAAAAGTCATGGCATCATGGTATTGATGTCCCGAAACAGTTTTTTGTTGTTGTTATTAAGCCAATAGAACTGACCCAAAACAAGAACATCTTAATCTGTTTTCATGCTAAACAATGAGAGGAAATGGCAACCTGTATTTTTATAACATGCATGTAAATATTACTTCTCAGCTGTATGCAGTGGGTTTAAATAATTATTGCTTTCACAAAACCCCTCTAAGTTTATGTGTTTTAATAATCTCCCTATGCTTTTGTGGACCTCTGATTAAACTAAAGGGTCTAATCAGAAACCTTGAGAATGATTGAAATAACTGCCACAGCGAGGTTGAATACAATAGATTTATTTACTCCAAAGAAATCAAATATATTTTCAGCAGGCTGAGGCGGACATTCTGCAGCCTCTTAACCCCAGTGGGATTCTGTTTGTTCCAGTGCTCTGACCTCTGATCAAGGCAAGATATTGTGTCTGGTACATCTGCAGTCTCAGTTGTTCCAAATTCACAAAGTCAGTATGTTCAAGGTTAGCTTGTGTTGTTTTCAAGTTTTAAATTATCAGGTTTCCACTGTTTGAAGTCCATCTCTATAAGGCTGAGCTACACTTCTAAGAGCCTGCAAATTAATGTTAATATCAGATGAGGGACACGTGTGATACAGACCTGATGAGGGGCAGCTCTGTCTGCTTCCTTTGAATGGAGATCTTCTCCAGGAAAGACTGCGGCCTGGAACTGACTGCCAGCTGCAATCGCCCTCTTCAAAAGAGCAGTAGCTACCATTAAGAAAGCGCCCTGGAAAGAGATACAAGAGAATACTTTATTGATTTATATATATATGATGAAAGAAGAAAGTAGACTTACTGTATCACAGCCAGACATCCAAAGGGAGAATGAACAGGGACCGGTGATCAAGCAGTTTAGTGACATGTAAAAGTTAAAAAAAATAAGTGCAAAAAGGGTGCACAGTAACTGCTGAAAGGATCTGATGTGGTGATGAAACCTGGGAATGTAGTGTAGTCCTCAGACTACTCAACACAAAGTGGTAGATTAAGAGGTATAAAGCTAGACTGCCTGGGAGGAAATTAGATATCATGACATAATGTCTTTTGTGCAATACGACAAGGATCTGAAGAATTTGACTTACTGAGATTTCATGACAAAGCTGGGAATTTGACGTATTAGTAGTCTATGAGAAAAGATGCTGAATATCTGAAATTTCATGGCTGTTAAACAGACATATTGGACACAAGCAGCTCAAGCAATTTTAATAACGGAACCCTTGTTTACAATAGTAAGAACATGAGTAGGCACTTTCACACCTTAACGATTTAGCAAGTGTATACCTGACGTCCCAGAATCTTCTAAAACGCTTTTTTTCAATTTTGGCCATATACTTAGAGTATTCATTAGTCCAGAGCATATGTCCAACAACAGCCTAACTTATTGTATCCATAACGGACGGCAGCGTGACGCCCATAAAATGTCATAAGCCAGTGTCTTGAGGGGGGCAGCAATGTGCATGGAGGCGCCCAACCTGCATACAAAGATATCTACCAAAACGCTGCCAATTTGCCATTATACAGTAGCTGGAAGTTAGAAACACGTTCAGCGGTCGTCTGGAGCATGTCAAATACGTTGATATGCATTGGAGATAACTTCTTGATAAATTACAAATAATTTATGTACACGTTATTCATAGGTTTTGGATAAGCTAGATGTCACAACTTATGAGTAATTTACACTTGACGTATGTCAAGGATCAGATAACGATCAGATGTGATTCAGCGTCCTCATAACTTATACAAAACTATCCCATAACTCATCCAACGTATGCCAGCGTTTTTTGCCAGATTTTTCATACGTTTTGCATATGCTTTCTAAATCGTCAAGGTGTGACGGGGGTTAACGTTGGTTCAAGGAGAGCCGTTGCTCCTCTGCATCTTGAAAAGGCATTTTAGGTTGCTGTGGCATCGGATTAGACTATTATTAGTATTAACTATTATTAATGAGACATGTCCCATTAGGAAACCACCCAAAGGCACATCTGAAAACTGCTTTATGGTGTGTGGTCCCACTTTTAGGCATTATTGTGGTGAAAGAAATTCTAACCCTCAGGGAATTCATTTCCCACAAAACTGTGTATATAATAAAGTTGTTTCTGTTGCTGTTGCATCCAGAGGCATGACAGGAACAAGGAATCACCAGCAAGATTTTGCCCATCGAAGCAACGCTCTTCTATGTCATCCATTGGACCAGAGGTCACGGATTAGCGGATCTCAGTCCGGATCCGGAACCAGCTGCTGGCTAATCCGGAGCCAACCTGATTTAAAACATTTATAAATTACTGCATGTTGTCCGACAACAGTGTCTAACTTCACTTGCTACCCTTCTCCTGTAAATATGGTAAAGCCCTCTGGAGCAGGCTGTACATGATACAAATTAGCCAGTGAGCTGTGTCAGTCAGAGCTGGTGCTGTTAGCTACTTTTAGACACAGCAGGCAAACATGTGGCAAGCCGGTTGGTGGGAAAGAAGGAGAAGACGATGAGAAAAACAGAGCAGAGAAAGTGTGGACTGCTGGAAGAAGTGCCGTGACAGAAACGTGCAATGGTGTGCTCAAAGATGGCCCTGCACATTTTGTGTATGTGTGGCTCAACCTACTGCTGTGAAGCAGGATTCTCCACCATGAATATAATCAAAACTAAATATTGATTTAGGCGCATGAATGAGCACCTTGATATGTGCTTTAGAATGGCTTTGTCACCATTCAAACCCAGGTTTAAAGCCTTGCAGGTTAGCCTAAAGCCCACTGCTGTCATTAAGCCATAAAAAAGAACGAAAAGAATAACAAACTGTCAGTTCAGGTGTTTTATAAAATATGTGAATCAGGAAATTGTCTATATTCTGTTTAAAGTAACAGATTATAATCAAAAATGTCTCTGGACCTTTACTGGTTGCTGATTTTCTTTATACTCTCTTTGATTCAGAGAGTTCTAAAGTTTATACCTGTTTTCGGTGCTCCGGGTGCTTTTACAGGGTTAGTACATGCCTGCAGATTGGTCTGTGACCCAATAAATTCCAACCTGCAACAAAATGCCTATTTTTTGACACCTTTTGTTGGTCTCAGAATACAATAAGGCGGGTGGTCAAAGAACAAGATTTAAGCCGCTCTTTCCTCAGGATTGGACCATAATACCACAACCCCATTCCTTCTTTAGGCTCAATTTCTTGCTTTTGTCCAATTTTACCCATTCCAAAATGCTCACTTGCTGACTAATATATCCCACCTACTAATAGGAGTGCATAAAGTTAAGTCTGACTCTTGTATCCTGGCTCTAGCCAAGGTGTTCCCCAGAACAGGCTGGAATGTGTTGTTAGGAAACAGGATGTCTGCATTTCCCTCTTGAACCTGTTATCCTGTGATCCAACACGGAAAACACTTAAGACAATGGGTGATGAGTAATGAAATATTGAATGTCTAATTTAATCAAAGGCACTACATGCTGTATACAGTAAAGTGGATTTATTGGTTGTTGTTTTTTGGATCGACTACTTTTCCTATCAGCTTCTACTTTTTTACATTAGAATGCTTAAAAAGAAAAATACTTTAAAAGGGAAGAATAACAAAGTAACAATAAGTACTTCCAACCGTGTAGTGCCACAAAAAAGGCTATTGCTCCAGATGAGGTAATAACACACTTAGCTAAAAGCATTGCACTCTGTTTTTATTCATCTATTGGCAGCATGAGTTTTGGGAAAACGATCCACTTCTTGTGCGAACAGAGTATTTCAGGTTAAAGTACAGTTTAAAGTGTTCATTATCACCACCTAATGTAAAATCAGTAAACCACAAAAAGCCACTATTCAGCCTCAAGAGTTTTTAAACGCTTATTCTAAAAGCTGAGAAAATTAAAACTTTGTTCTTCAAGGATTTTTGAAGGTAGTTTGTAAAGAACAACTTAGGTCACTTTGAAACCCTGTTGACTCTCTATGAGTTGATTTTTCTAGCTGCAATCAAAAACCTTGTACCATTATTACTGTTTGTGTAACACATGTTTAATTGCGAAGAGATTAATATTGCTGAAAGGGCTGAACATCCAAAGCAGCTCAGTGGAAAAAGTTAGTACTTCTCTAATTCATTGCAGTTTCTACTGGGACCAACAGGTAAACAGTCCAATGTTGAAGGCTGATTATAAAATGCTTTCACACTGTAATATGTCTGTCTGTCTGTCTGTCTGTCTGTCTGTCTGTCTGTCTGTCTCTCTAGTATAATAAATGAAGATTAAATGATTACCCTCTGATTTTAATATCATATACACTGATGACAGCAGACTGGAGGTGAATCCTGGTAAAATGTCAAGCTCTGCACACTTTATCCACTGAAATTAGACCGACAAGAAGGATGATTTTAACCAGAAATATAGATTCTGGTTTGTGACTGTTCTGGTACCTGAGCAGTTACAGAGTTCAGAGATGTCTGACTTATGATGCTTGCGTAAGGAGAATAAACAAATCACCCAAGATCCATGGAGTCTTCTTACAATTTGTGCGGTTTGTACAAAGACTGTGATCAACCATACCATTTAAACCACATATAAAGTGAAGAATATCATTCACTGGGAAATCTTAGAATAAAACCAAATAGTTACCTAGTGCTTACAACATTCCTTCTGTAATCTAACAGAGAAAAATTGAACTTCATTTATATTTAATGATGAAGCATTGCTGTCTTTTACTTGAACATAATATCAAGATCAAAACTTTAGTTTCAAAGCTCTATTTCAAAGTTAACTTTATGGTACTCTGATCTCAAAATTCTTGTAGAGACTTTTAACAGAAATCATAAAAGAGATCTGCAGACCAGCAGAAGCCTTTTTGAAATGGTAATTTCAAAACAACAACAATTCACATAATTTCAATATGTTCATCCCAAACTAAAGCTAATGTTAGATTACTCCATAAAAACTACACATATAATAAATATCATAGTCCACTTTGCCTTGTGACAATAATCAGCTTGTCTAACATAAACCACTCACTATGAGATATTCATAAAAAGGTAAAGACATAACCTCAGCCATGCATACAGTATGAATAGAAACATCTGGGATGGTTAAGTATTTATAAATGTCACAATATGAAATCAGCATGTGTGAGGTGTAGGGTACAAAAATCCAATAAGTTAATGATATTCTAGCCTTAACAACAAAAGCAAGCCTTAACACTTCTCACTCCCTCAGTGTCTTCATTAGAGTTTATTCTAATATAAATAATAAAATGTAAATTATTATAGGCTGCTCATTGGAACAGTGGGTAAGCGCTGCAGGCTTTTCAACAAGAAGGTTCTTGGTTCAATTCACAGCCCAGATTCTTTCAGCATGGAGTTTGAATGTTCTCCCTGTGCATGCATGGGTTCTCTCTGGGTACTCCAGTTTCCTCCCACAGTTCAAAAACTGACTAACTGTTTAGTTAATTAGCCTCTCTAAATTCTCCTTAGGTGTGAATGTGTATAGGAATGGTTGTTTGTCCTTTTTGTCTCTGTGTTGCCCTGTGATGGACTGGCAACCTGTCCAGGGTGTACCTCGTCTTCCGCCCATAGACAGCTGGAGATAGGCACCAGCAACCCTTGTGACCCCTCTTGGGATTAACGTGACGGAAAATGGATGAATGGGTATATTATTATTAAGAAACTGCAAAAAACCAGAAGTGAACTTAAACTGTCCCATTTGGGCAATAATATATATATATATATATATATATATATATATA